TTGTGAATTTATTCCTTCTGTTGAATAAAAAAAGAACATGTTTTGAAGAATGTTGGTATGTATTTTTTTTCTTCTATTTTATGGATAAAAACACTAATATTCTTCAAAATAGCTACTTTTATGTTCCACAGAACAAAGAAAGTCATGCATGGTCAATACAGGTCAATGACATGACACTCACTTTTTGTCCATATCAAATGGAGTTTATTTGAAAATAAGTAAAATATGCAGCTCATACATACAATGACTTTAAATGCCTTTTCTACAATGAGCATGTTAATTTCTGTATTAACATTTTAATTTTTATATTTCTTGGGCAGTAAAGTAAAAAAAAAATGTCAAGGTGATACAACTCTCCTATCATTATATCATAATGAAGAAATACAAATCCCTAAAATAATGAAAAGAAAACCTTTTTGGAATAATATTTTAATTAATTTATTTTTTGGGAACAAATAAAATAACAAAACTGCTCTTTTACAATTGAAAAACTTTTGTCCAGCAAATCAAAGTTAAATATGTGCAACCAACATCCAGAAGAAAAAAAACACAACTGGAAATGATATCACTGAGAAGACCCATGCAGCTGCAATATTTTTTATTTATTTAATGATTCATTGCATTTCTTGCGTAAATTAGGTTCCTCATGCTTGAGCCACAGGAAATGGAGAATTTCGTTCTTCTTCACAAAGAACAGCCTATACGTAGACAGGTGCCAATATCTACATATATGCAATGACTCACACATAGACAAAAAACTAAAGAACAAATGCACAAACAGGGCTTTTGTCTCTTTGTTTGTCTCAGACAGTCATTACCTGTATAGGGATGTTGAAGAAGAACATGGCAGATGAGGATGCAGTTAGCTGCCTGGTGATTGGCACAGAGAACGGTGATGTTTACATATTAGATCCAGAGGCCTTTACCATCCTCTACAAGGTCAGCACATTCACACCTGCTTCATATGTGCTTGTTCCACACTATGTTCTTCTATGAGCTTTTGGCTTTATCATCAGTATCATCATCAGAATATATGTGACTTACTTTACGTGTAGTAGTAAAATAAGTTGATTTCCCATAATGAATTAACTTTTTCTATGATTTTGCCTGTATGTTTTCAGATGTCGCTGCCTAGTTCACCTACCCTAATGGATGTGACGGGTCAGTTTGATGTGGAGTTCCGTATCACTGTGGCCTGTCGCAACGGCAACATCTACATACTACGCAGGTAACTGAGTGAATTGCAACTTATTTAAATATTTTTAATTGGAGCAACAAGGCTTTTCAGAGCCTGGAATCAGTTGAAGCACTTGCTTCATAAAATGAATTTCAAAGCACTCAAAACTCAACGTGCTGAGCTGAGAACGTCTGCTGGTTAAAGCCATGTAAATGTGTTGTAAAAGTTTTTTATTAAAGCATGTAATTTATAAATACAGTTCATTAAACATTAAAGATGACTTATCTGTATAATTGGAAGTTTTAATGATTTATTTACCAACTTTATTGAAAATCCTCCTTTCAGCATTTTTTCCTACAATTCGAAATGTTCTGAATCAGTGGGACATAAAGAGTTGTTTGTTGAAATCATGTGACTTGGCCATTGATATACATGCTTTGAAGTATTGTTTCGAAACAAAAGACTTCAAGATCATTATCACTCATGCAAATAGCTTTCCTGCAGTTTTTAGGCCCATTCATACACGGAACTATAAAGTTTTAGTTATCATACTAATTCTATTAGAATAGGGAGTCCACGCCACACATACAGTATATTGATAATGACACAAAAGAACAGTATCATTGAAATTACTTTTAGAACTTTTTTTTTCCAGCTGATGAATGCATTGAAAGTCAATGAAACCTGACTTTAAAGAGGCGCATTTAAAAGGCGGCAGACGACAACCACAAGTGCGCATATAATCCGCCAAATGTTATCGTCCTTAGGTGGATGTAAATATAATGTGTGTAAATATCTAGTTATCTTTATAGTTATCATTCTTGGTGTGAACAGGGGCTGGTTGCATAAATTGCTTAGACTAGAAAATTAGCCATCTAATTTGTTTTCTTCTAGACTGGTCAAAACTGTTTAAAGTCAGTTACAAATAATGTAGACCGGCCCAATTTGAATCAGAAAAATGAGACTGGTTATCTCTTGGCTAACTGCTAGTTGGTCAAACTAGTTCTTAAGAC